AGGGACTAAGGATGTGACCAGGACAGGGCAGGAACTAGGACTCCTGCAAAGGAACCACTGCCAAAGCGCCTGGCATCTTCTGTCACTTTGCTGTGACACCAGTGCTATGACGAGCCCACATCCTTGGAGTCTGGCTGAGGATCAGCTGCGGCGCTGATCCCATTCCCTGAAGCAAAGCAATCCTTGGCAGCTCCCTCCCAAACAAACCCCACCTCATCCTCATGCCAGCACCTCTCCCGAAGCCTGCCTCCTCTGCCAGCCCTCCTGCATCTCCATCACTCTCCCTCCAGGCATGGAAAGCCACTGCAAAATGCATTAATCGCCACACCTGCCTAACAAGTGTATTTGTGGGGAGGATGCAGTGAGTGCGATACAGTCCTCTGTGTCATTTTTCTACCTGCCTGGTATTTAGGATGAAAAGATGATCAGACCTGTAAAATACAATCCACTACGTGATGACTTGTAAAGAGGTAAAATGGAGACACTGAAAGTCATTCACGCCTCTTTTCATGTCATTGCACAGTGAAATCCTACCCACAAACATAAAATTTTTCAGGTTAAAGGCTGAAAGATTTCAAAAACATATGTAGGTAAGTTGGCTCCCCCCATAGCCGTGGCAGCTGGGTGTGCTGGGGACAGAGTACAGAGAGCCCAGCCGAGGGTCCCGTAGAGCAGGCGTCAAAAGCACACAGGCCTTTCAAACACTGGTAGCAGGTCGTGCACTAAAATGTACCTTGGTGTCATCTGATAGTAAAGTGTAAAAAATATTACAGCCTTCAATCCATGATTCCTCACCCCTGCTTCACAGACAAGAGCTCCGATTGCGCTGGAAATGCGCAAGGCGCCTCTCCAAAGCCAGAAAGAGCCTCATTCCTCAGAAACTGCATCCAAAGCAGCACGTGAAGAACTTCTATATATTGCCAGACAAGGGCCAGAAGAGACCCTGGTCATCCCCATGCTGACCAAAGGGCACAGCCTGGCCCGGGGCGGGGAGCTCCAGCACAAAGCCCGTTGACTTACACCACAGCAAAGTTTTATCTATCCAAAAGATAGACAGCGGTGAGATTTCTTAACTAGGCCTCATCTGTGTTGGTAAATCTCAGCAAAGCCAACTTCAGGTCACTGCCATCAGCCTGCTGGAGTACTCTGGGAAGAAGCAAAATTTGGGATGAACCAGCAATTGCCAAGCAGGCTGTTCTCAGCCCTTTTCCCATGCAGCATCACAAGCTGGAGGTATATGGTATAGATCCTTAATGCTGAGATTTTTTCTGCCACTATATTTGGGATTGCAGTGGTTATTCCTATTCCATCAGTCAGTAGGACTCCTGTTTACTGGATGCAGCCATAAAAGGTAAAGAAGCCCCAGCAGGCATGGGTAACACCATTAAATATCAGTCCTGACAATGGTAAATTGGGTTTAAAGTTTGGAACAGAATGCTGAGAGAGGAACCTCTTTCCTGAACCAAGGAATAATATAAAGCCCCACTTTCTCCCCTATGTGACTTTTGTCATTATCATCTTTTCTGATTCTTACAAAGCAAACCTAATTAGGAAGCTCTCTCATTAGTCTTCCAGAAAAATTAGCACAGCTTATGCTAATTACTCCTGTAAAATTTAATAAACTCGTTGAAATGGGAATAGTCTAATGAGGTTTTATTTATTGAACTAAGATAACTGTAAGGAAAAAGGTTAGGACACCAGGATATCCAAAGTGGTAATAAAACTACGATTTATTCAATTTCTTCTCAAGAATTTTATTGCAAACCTTTTAAATTCAAATATGAGTTACAATTTGAAAGTTAAATCAATCTAGAATTTAATTTAATAACAGGAAGTGCTCTGTGTTTTCTTAAAGTGTGATTACAATACCGCCCTGCCACTGCATTCGTAGGAGGAATTGAGCGTTTGTATTGTGACAATAATACCCCTTTTAAAATGAGTTCCTGTTCATCGGATCTTCACCTCAACACATATAACTGGATTAGTGATAAAATATACAGGCTATGCTAAGAAGATGATTCAGACACACACAGGTTTCCAAGAAACTTCCTTGAAATGACTGCTCTATAAGCATAATAGATTTATTTTGTTCTCCAGAGAAAAATTAGATCACTATATAAGCATAAATTTCTTTAGGTCCCTTTCACTGCTGTATCTGCTGGTACTATAATAGAGCAGAACATAAAGCAATTTCATAAAGGATAAAGCCATATCCTGTTTCAAACACAACTACAGACTCTTTTTAAACCCCACATTTTGATTAAATAAAAATATTTTATTTACTTCTCATATATATCTAGGGTTGGAAAAAGAACACAACACATCTAACTTTGAAGCTGCCAAACAGCCTCTTCACCAAGTTCACTAAACCGCCACAGACTGCTCTCTACCCCAAGTTTCTCTAGCCTCATCAAAGAGAATTAATCAATCCAAAATAGTATTTCAGCATGTTAGAAGAGGATAGCATTTCCATGTAAGTACATATGTCAAAAATCCCATGGATAGATTCTACGTTAAACTCTATGTTAGGTCAGAGTCTGTGGATTCGCAGTATTTGATGCAAGAGTTAGATTAAATCCATAGGCAAGACTTTATCAGAGCGTAAAGGCATGTGGGAGTGCTTTAGCCCAAATGGTAAATGAATTCTCTAAGCTCACATGCAAATAAAAATAGCTAAATATGGTTTTGCATATCAATTGACATAATAGTTAAAAATTGTGTGCATGGAGAAGTGACAATGGAGTACAACTAAACACATGTTCTGACTTGTGCAGGCATTTTAATGTTAGAACAATTTTAAAGGAGTCGTTTTAAGGTAAAAAGGCTCCATATAGATCACTTCATCCTTTCCAAACCAAACGGGGGAGAAAAAAATGAATAGGATAAATGTCACGAGAAACATCACTAAAGCCACTAACTGTATAAAGCACATACTTATTTGGCCTAAATTGTTTGAACTAGCCCCAGCCAAGAAAAGGTTTTAAGTACCCTACTGGGACAGATGCGAAGCGGCAACAATAGAAGCCACACTAATGCAATCCAGGTAACCCAATCCTGTTTCAAAAACACAGGGAGGGCTAATTACAGTACTGCTGAGTCAAATTTCTTATACCATTGCAACCCACAGGAACAGGTCAAAATCAAATGTTATTCAAACCACAGTCATATCAACCTTCTGTATCAAAGTCACAATTTAAAACCAAGCGAAGAACTTAAAAGCTTAACCCATTCACAAGCCAAGCATGATTCAGTATGGGTGGTGAGGTAGGGTTTGTATTACCATCTTTAAATTATGTTTAGCTTGCACTTTAAAAATAATCTGCAGAATTGGTACCTTTTGCATCAATTTACGTAAAGACTGATAAATTGATCACTGCTAGGAAGGTAAATCTGCTTTTTTTTTTCATGAAACTGTTCTCCGCGTTTTGCAGGAAGCATGTAACAGACAGCATCTCTGGCTTTCATAATTTAAAATGATTTGCAACTAGCAGTTTTGCATACTAGATAGTTAAACAAAATATTTCCGTAAACCCGCCATTAGCATCTTAACATCTCACTTTCCAGTACAATGAAAAATTCATGTGAATTTTGTAGCTTTCATGTTGCTCAAAATGCCACTCAGCACCATGTTTATAGTGTTCAACTCTGCAGCATGCTTATAAAACACATCTCTATACAGATTTCACTGTGGGGTTTTTTCCCCCCCACTTTCCCTGTTACTACCTAATGCTCACAGAAGATGAAAATCTGCCCAGTTAAAATAGATCGAGGTATCTTCTGAGACTTAAACATTCTCAGGATTACTTATTATGGCTAATCAAAACATCTGCTATGAACTTCCAGTATATGCACTTTCTTACCAAATTCAAACAAGAACCGTAAATCTGGGAGTCTGGATGAGCACAATGCCAGGCAAGGCTCTGCCACATCCCTGGACCGCTCTCTGCACCTGGCACCCAATACATCAAACCCTCCTCGCCTTCTTTCATAAAATGGATGCACTGGCACAGCAGATACTTTAAACTTAATGTAGCAAACATTAACTCAGACAGTAATGCAAGGGGAAGCACACTATTCCATGCTCTTGCCCTGTATGTATAGGCAGTTTCCCTTCAGGGTCCCTCCATTCACAGATTCGTGCAAGAGTATTGCTTTCCGCAGCTGATGACAGACACTTTCAGTACTTCATGGCCATTTAACTCTTCTAGAGTAATGCTGCATAATAACCTGGTTATCGCACATGGCTTTATACAATGAGTCTGGACAATTAAAATGTAAAAATGACTATTTGGCTACCATTTTGCATAATTTGCAAGCACAGAAACTACACGTGGCTCGGCACAACTAAAATAGATGTATCACACTACAGTGATTTAGTCGGTGCTGTCAGATTAGCAATATGGATCTGTTTAAAAACACAATAATTAAGACAGGCAAAAATGAATTAATCAACTGACAATACAGTCAAAATAGTATTCCAACGAAAGAAAATAAGAGGAGGAAAAAAGCCTTACTTTGCAGATCTATTTTTTTAACTGTTTTTATGCATAAATAAAAACCTTAAAATGTAGATGGATTGCATCCAACAGAACTACTGTAGCTAAAAGTGATAATGATTCAAACATTTTTCAAATAAAAGTTAAATATTTATAAGCACCCAACCACATTTCATAAATCACAAACTATTATTATTTTATTCCTGAAGCTTCCCTGGCACAGCATGTGAATTGAGCCACAGAAAGTCAGAAAGAAAAATCTCCTCTTTATGCACATGAATCAGTTACAAGAAGCGGAGCCCTCCAAAGAGCAGGTCGCTCCGTTCTCCTCCATATGGCCCTTCCGTGGCAATCGCAATCGCAAAGCACAACTAATTCGGTATCAAAAACAAAATTTCATCTGTATATACTCCTAATTCTTCCCCATTAGCAACACAGGGCAGGTGTTTCATTATAATGAGGAGGGGGAGAAAAAAAATGGAAGGAAACAATAGCAGTCCTTACCTGTCAATTATCACTGGATCTGATGGAGTCTCATTTCTGTTGCCACAGCTTTTCTTGTCACAACAGCGGCTACAGAGCAAAAGTGAAAGGATTTAGTGCGACCATTACACTGTAAAATCATCATTACGAACATGGTAGGTTCAAATTGCCGGCTAGAGTTACTGCTCGGTCCCTGCCTGGAAATCAGTCAAATGTAGTGGGTCACATATGGGTTAATTACTATGTTTAACTTCTTGCACAGCTGGTTAGCAACGGAAAATATAAAAAGAGAGGGGTTTTGCCCCTTTCACAAATAATAATTCAAGGATCACCCAAAACAGGGAGACCTGCTTATTTGTAGCCTCTTTTCCATAGGGTTTAACAGTTGTCCCACATACACTCACACACAATATAAGGCAGCTTTTTCCCCGCTGAGCCTGGTTTTTGCATTTGCTTAACGCTTATGTTACACGTCCATAGGATATTCCTGCTTCTACACAGAACCCAATTCTCAGCTACTGGGAATCCTCCCCCCATATCCAAAAGCACAATTATTCTCCCTCTAAGGAACACTGTTGTTAATGGGGGAGCTAAAATGCAAGCGCCATTGGCAGCAGCTTTTTTATGCTCGAGCGTGCCTGTTTCCCCAAGTTTTCTGAGCATGTTAATGATCTCTAATGCCATGGAGAGCACAGCTCCGGCGGCTGGTGCCCTGCGTCAGGTCAGATACAAAGCAGGCATGTGAAATATAAGCTCCGTCTCCCAAAGCACTGCTCCATCGCTGACCTCGAGGCTGGGATTCTTTTGAACTAAGGTGGCTCATTGTTTCCTAAGAGAAGTTAAATTGTTGTTTGTGATGATTCCTTGTCAGAGGTTATTGTCCATTAGGAACCATAAATGTATTGCAGGTAAGCTCGCAGGCAATATATACCTTTCTGCTTAGGATGGGAATCCCTCCTGGTGCATCTAGAGCTGCAGCTGAGCAATGTGGAGGCTGCCCTGTTCTCCCCAGCAGTGCATCTAAGCCCATGAGACCAAGTCACAGCTATGCAGGTGAGCAAAGCCTCAGGCTTTCACCCACCCACACACCCCACAACAAAACACCCATTTAGCAAGGAAAGCTCCTGTTTATTGGTGTCCCTTAACAGAGAATCCCCCACTGAAATCAAGACTCCAAGGAATTAAAAAAAATAAGAACAAAACCAAAAACAAAAACAAGAAGCTCCTGGTCTTCCTAAGCCCTCCTTGGTCTCCAAGGACCTGCTGGATGAAGATCAGGCAGCTCCTGTAGGGTGAAGGACTGCAGGGACTCCATCCCATGATGGCACCAAACAGACAGGCAGTGACAACCACCCTGTTTGCTCTCCCTGACCAGACCTGAGTGCATCTCTCCATTCAGTAAACTTTCTGGTAAACTTCAACCACACGCAACCAAATCTTTGGAAACCACCAAGTTTGTTCCGAAGGCCATCCTGGGTACCTGCGCATTGCCCTTATTTCAGCAGCTGACTTTGAGCGGTTGGCAGGAGCGACCACTGCTCTCACTCCCACTCAAATGAACTATAACTATTTTCTTTTCCCCAGAAGGTGGAAGAACATCAGGGCAGGAAGAAGCCCTCAGAAGTGCCACGCTATATAAATAGCCCTGTTGGGAGTATGACAAAGGTTCTCTTGTGTTGCTGAACAATAGAGTGAATAATATACAGTTACCCACCAAGATTAGCAATAAAGCAACTAACCACACTAAAGATAACAAAAAAAAGGGGGCCTTTTACAAAAACAGCTTGTTTAAACATGGCTTAAAAAAAAAAAAAATTGTTTTCAAAGAGAGGAAAATACATAATTCTTTTCACCGCAAAAAGCTTCAAGGCAACTATTCAGGGCTGAAACTTTTCACAGTTAACACATGTGCGGTATCTTCATTTCGGTGGAAGTTACATTGTTTGGGATTGCCAAAAAAAACTGCTTAATTTTACAGCACAATACCACAATTGATCCACCAGAAAATACAAGAGCCTTGGCACCCAGAAAGTATTAAAATTTAGGAAGGAATAAAATATGCTGTAGGTAAATAGTCATGTGGACATTCAGGGGGCTTTTTTGCCTATAAAAGGACTTGTCCTTGGAGTGCAGCTAGAATGTGTGGGGTGAGAAAATTTACCCACAAACAAGGCAATAAAAACTGCTAATCATTTTTAAATGATTAAAATGTAATTAGAAACAGAGTTGGCACAAGTTAAGACAATGCAGTTCTTGTGACTAAAGCAAATCAGGGCTAGTCCTGACATTCTCACAGCAGACTGGAGGGACAGAAATTGCCACACTTACTCAGGCGAGCAAAGGTTCCCAGGCTCCCAGCCCGAGATGGGCAGATACCACCATCCACACACCACCAGGCTCGGAGGCCGGCACCTTCCCGGGGAGCGAACCCAGCAGGAGAGGCGGCCGCGGGGGCCCAGAGACGGGGACGCCTCAGTCTCACCTCCTGCCGTGAGCGGGTTGGAGCCAGGCACTGGCCAATGGGCACAACCAGGCTTCGAGAGTGGGGGAAACACCACGTTGCTGATCGGGTGGCCCCCTCGTTTGGATAGGTCTTCCCAAGAGTGCACCCCAATAATCCTGAGTAATACTAAGAAATCTCACTCCTCGCACCACAATTTGAGGGTGATGTGGAAGAGGTACATGGCTGGCACATCCTACCGTCTGGTGGCTTTGTGGCATGAAAAGAGACCCCAAATGTTCTTTCATGTTCTAGATACATGTTCTTGGCTTGCCTTTTGCATTTCTTTCCTGTAACAGCAGAATCCGAGGCCTCATCTACCCTACTTTTTCTATTCAGAGAATTAAAACATCACGCAAATCCTGAGTTTGAGACCTGGTTGCGTGGCATGAGAAGTGCTTTTAATTCAACTTGCCTGGAAAGCTTTGGCTTTTAGTGCCTTCTTAACACTTGAAAATAAATTCCTAAATATTTAGCGCCCTTTCTCTGTTCCCTGAAAGAATTTAAATATTCCTAGGAGCTTCTCCAAGTCACCCAGAAGCCCCCCAGCTCCCAGCAAGGCTCTGTGAAGCGCAGGGAGAGGTGCCGAGCGCTGGCTTCTTGCATCCAGGAGGACAAGGACTCATCCCTGCTGTCCATCCGTGATGCCTCTCCCCAAGCAGAGCAAGAAGCCACAGCTCAGGCACAACACCACGTTGGCCCACAGAAAAAAAAAAAAAAAAAAAAAGTATTTGTTTGAGGGTTTGCTTGTTTCTAAAACAAGTAGTCCTTAATAGTAATGCAGCCTCTTGACATCACAACCTCCTCCAGCTCTGCACTCCAGCTCTGCCTACCCCAAGTTTCCCCCTCACCTGACTGCCACCCTCAGGTCTCATCCCTACACCTTGTCCTGCCCCTTTGCAGGCCTCCCCATCCCCTGGCCACCACCTCTTCCATATTTTGTGGCTGCCTTTGTCCTCACCCCAACCCTCTGGAGACCTGCTGCCCTCCTGCCGTCTTGCTCCATACCTTCCTCTTCCCCTTGCCTTCCCGGTGATGACGAAGCATCTCTACCCCACACTGCCCGGCCCCGCCGCAGATGCACAGGAGATGCCCCCCCTGCCTCAACATCTGGCAACTCCCAGATCCTCCTGTTCCCACCCTGGAGTGGCGACCAGGAGCATCACTGGTGAGAGGAGCCTTGCTTTGTGTATCTGTGCACTCGGGCTTTCTGTGGGGACAATGAACAATGAGAAATTACGGGGCGATGGCACGGGGCCAGCGCCAATGCGACTTTCCGATCATTTAGCTGCCAGGCTCTAACAAGTCGTTAGCGAGTCCGTGTGGGAGATGTTGCAGAGACTCCCAGCGAGGTGGATTTCATCCCTCAGACGATGTGGTCAGGACAACCCCTGCCCCAAACAGGCTCCTCACCCCGAAGCGTGGAGGTACGGGAGCTTCTCGCCAAAACAGCTGTAAGATTTTATTTTACACAGACAAAAACCATATTTTACTCCAACCTCATTCTCAGAAATCACTGAACCATTTTAGCTGAAACTTTCCAAAGAAAGTCAGCCTGAGGCTGACACCCTGCAAAGGACATTTCAGCCAGAACAGTTTAAGTTTGGCAAAGCTGTAAGCCACTGAAGGTTTCATAATGGAAATTGTTGAGGCAATATTAACTATAGATGTCCCTCCCCATGCTGCCTACAATACTAATAAATTCCACAGAGGCTGTGAATTCTCCCCAGCTATTAACATTTTCGCCAACAGTGTAGATTTTTATATTTGACAAAACACAATGAAATCCTTTGAAATAAACAGCCACCTGAAGCAAACCACAGCCCCACTTTCCTACCACAACTAGGACTCTCCTATACATTTGAATTCTTTGTCTTACCCGTGCCATAGTTGTAGTATACTATAAATACCCAGCTTTGTCACATAAATGCAAAGTTTTATTGTGCAGTTAGCCTTGATAGAAAGCACTGCTGAAAGTTGTTTAGAAATTAAATATCTAAAACAAGCTATTTTAAAATACAGAGCCCTCACTATTTCATGTCTGAAATGAAGAAATTTCATCTTAGGGAGAGCAAGCTGTCTTTCACACCATATGGCTAATGGTAGTGCATAGCAATTAGCTGAGCTGATTAATGGGGAACAGACTCTAATTTTATGCTTATAATTGAGGCTGCATTTGCACCCCTGGTGCAAATTCAGCACATCCCAACTTCCACTTACAACAGGCAAGAAATCAAGAGAAACAGAATGGTGTGGAGAGATATTTTTTTTCTCCCTTCTAGACCCCTAAAGAGCATCAGATTTGCAATTTAAAAGAGTGTTAGCAGCACAATAGATGACAGATTTGTGCAATAGGGTCAAGCGGCCTAGTAAACAAACAGCACCCTCTTACACATGTATAGGCAAAAAAGGAAATGGGTAATATCTAATATGAGCTGTAAGAAATTTGAATACGTCTCCCCCACCCTGTCAGGCACACAATATTTGCCTACTGTGGTCAGAGACTTTTTTTTTGCTACCCCTCCACCTTATGGTTATGAAACACAAAGCAAGGACTAGCAGTAAACAAATATAAGGAGAGGAATAAAGCTCCTGATCCAGTGAATTTTAAGAACAAAGAAAGTGAAGTGCTTTAATAAAAGGAAAGACTGCACATCTTTCCACATTCCCAGAACGGAAATAATTTTATCTCAGTCAAAGTATATTGAACGGCTGTAAATCTTTGATGCAGGTATTTGATCTTCTGGTTAAAACTCAGCCCTCTATATAAAGTTTCAATTTACTTCTTACTCTTTAAACTTCTGAAGTATTTGTAAGAAAATTAATGCATTAGAGTAGGTGATTCTTACTCTGGCACGGATGGCTCGGTGAGTGGCAGGCAGATCTAATTCCTACCTCATAACCTTGCTGTTTAAGAATCAGGAGGGCACATCACCCAGGACTAACAGCAGATTCAGACCCTGACGCTGAAGGCACTTGAGCATGTGCTTAATTTTACTCATGTGAACAGTCCCACTGTTTTACTGGTCTATTACAGGAGAAAAGCAAAGCACGCACTTCAGCCTTATCAGGTCAGGGGCCTCCTTTAATATTTCCATGAATTGTTCCTGGCTAGGTATCTAGTGTGAAAGTGGTGCTAATTGGGCCAATGAATTTTAGGGCAATTATGAGTTGTCAGCACTACTGGGTTGCCATTTGGAAAGGGAGAAGTGGTCGGGAGAAGAGGCTGGGAGTCCTCAGCAAAGCAACGCCGCAGCTCCCAACGAGAGCAGAAGCTCAGGCACCTCTTGGAGATACCTGTCTGTTCCGATCATTCTCGGGCTGCAGTGGGTAATCTTTGGTTTCCTGGAAGAAGCCAAACCTACTAAATGAAGCAGCCTAGAAAAATACACATGAGAACTAAAATTCCCCCAAATCTGCAAGGAAGAATTTGGGGAGCTGCATAGGGTTTCACCCAGGCTGGCAAAGCAAGGAGAGCAGCTCTGTCTCTGCCAGCATGTCAGCCCTTCAGCAGGATTTTATCAGGGAGGAACTGCCGCGGAGAACAAAACATGCAGATTACCAAGAATGAAAAAAAAATTTTTTTCAAATCAACCAACAGAGAAGTTTCCATCTGAATATTTTGTCTAAAAGTCTCCCCCACCAGGAAACCCTCATCCAAGTTTATTCTCTTAGAAGTGGGTACTAGTTTCTACCCTCAAGTTACTCCTTTTTAGTAAATGTGTTTTGTAAAAGTTACAACGCATGCAATGGCATTTTTACAGTCTTAAAACAACTGATTGTAACAATAAGCTTATGCAAGAATTGCCTCGTCTTCCACCAGGCAATTATTTTCTGCCATCGAATAACATGTAACAAATTATTTTTACAGTCATGCAAAAAACACCCACTAACTTTAATGAGACTGCAAGGTCAAGCTCTCCTAGGTGTCGAAGTGGTCTGCGAGAAGATGCTGCCTTCTCTGCAGTGAAAAGGAAGTAGAAGAGGCTTCACCTATTTCAATCAGCTAGAAAAGAGAAGGAAGCAGCTGCAGAAGTACCATCTTTGGGAGAAAAGATATTTGACTGTCCTGAATTTAAGTGACCAACCCCAGGCAGGCGTGTTCAGGGGAGGAGAGCACAGGGCAGAGCCAAATCTGCACAGGGAAGTTTAAAGAAAATCAACAAGAAGACATATTTTGCATGGACGAGTATCACCTACTCTGCTCCACTCGAGCAGGGACCTTGTGTGGGCAGCAACCAGGACAAAATAGGACTCTTGACCTCAAGTCTTAATGCACACCCAGAAAAAAATTAAAAAAAAAAAAAAAAAAAAAATTATTTTGTCATCTAACTGAGGAGTTTTTGTTGGGAATTGGGGACAGAGACATTTAGTGCTAGAAGACTATAATTGACTGTTAATTTTGGTGAGGAGACCTTTTGTGGGCTATGGTGTCTAAATGAAAACCGGTAGCGTTCTGTTAAGAATAACTCTTTATAAATAATTGAAAACTAGTGTGACGACTGAGACCTTGCTGCTAATTACACACACTGAACTGTGTTATTTTGGGATTGTTTAATGCAAGAAAGATAAATTTAAGTCCGAAAATAGCTGCAGGTTCAACCTAGATTTTGAGAGACACGTTCATCTTCTCATCACTAATTAACTGGAAGCGGGGTATTTCTTACCTGCACATTATTTCATGTGTGAGCAGAACTCGGCACATTTCTGGGTTCTTGTCTTGGCCTTCATATACTATTGCCTAGAAACAAAACAGATTTTTAGCTGTTTTAGCAAGTTGAGTTTGGAGAAAATAAAAGCAGATCGCAGTAACTGAAGGCGCAGCTGGAGCTGCAAGCCAAGTCACAGGCTAAGGAGACTGCGTCTCACCAAACCTGCTCCAAGACTTGCAGTTGGAAAACAGCACAAGCTGAGTACAGCTAAATTCTCTCCTCCCTGTTGCACATCTCTCAAGGAGTGTGTAGGATGGGTTTTTTTAGTAGTCAAGACAACCACAGTTTTCTTTTAAAATCAGAATAGAATATAAATCTAATAGCATTTATAGAAAAAAACAGCAAGGCTTGGCATACTTTGGGTCCTATTCATTAAAAAAAAAAAAAAGAAAAGAGAGAGCTCATATATTTTTAATTACAAAAGCAACACAGCCCAGGAATTTTCCTGGTAGCTCCCGAGAAAGCGCCTGGGCCTGATTCTCTCCTTGACCCTCACGATGCACCGTTTTCCAGAGAGAACTCTGGAGTTACAGGGACATAAATAAGTGAGAAGCAGGCCCTACCAGAGCAGAGGATACCAAAACAAACAGAGGATCAACCAGCCTGGGAAATTTGAGAGAGCACGGGGAGAATCCTTTAAGTTAAAACTGTGGAAAGTCAGTGTATTCACATTTCAAGAAGAGTCTGTGTTTGCAGTGCTCCCACCAGCAGATCCAGCAGCAACAGTGAGGGATCGGCATTACACATGAACTAGGTTAGCACTCACAGCCCGCTCAGTACAGGGTTTCCATCTGATCAGGACAGAGTTGTTTTCTAACCACCCCTAGTCCCAGGCACCAGCCCCCCAGCAGCAAAACAAGAGTGAAAATAAGTTGCCTTCTCAAAAGCATCTTTTGATAGCACTGAGGTTCCTAAATCTTTTAGGGTGCCACTCCAGAGCTGGGATCAATGGTTAGAGCCCCAGCCTTGGAAGTACGACCACCCCTGCATCTGAGCATCAGCTCTACCCTTGACCTTGGTGTGACATTTTCTGCCTCTATAATACAGACTTAAAAAGAAGAAATTGGGGAACAAACTCTGCAGATAAAATAACATCTGATGCGAGTATCCTAAAGCTAACAATAAAATAGTGTCGTGATTTGAAAATAAGAAACCAAAAGTATGCTATACAAATTAAATACATTTTATAGAATGAGACCACTTTGAAATGGAAGTGTGGAAAATATTGAGAAAAAATAAGTTATCTTAATATACAATAAAGATAGATCATATGAACTGCTTTCCCCAGTCCTTACAAATATAACCCACCAAGGGTAAGAGGTGTTGTACCTGCAAAGGGGGCACGGATCTCAGGACACACAAATCTGAAGGACCATGAGCTGATTTTTAACACCGTTTTAACAGTAATATATGCAATGTTAGTATTACGCATTATAAAATTATTTAATTACTACATAAATAATATCAGGAGTGGGGCTGTTTTATCTTTGCTAGTTTTAATTTTTTCATTTTGGTTTTGCTGTGCACATTCCCCTAAAACCTGAGAGCCAGTGGGGTTTTTTTTTCTGCTAAGATAAAACAGGTCGCTGATGTCATTGCAACTAACAGGTACGGAGTTTCACCTGACTTCTGCCCTGCCATTCCCACCAGTGAGGCACAAAACCTGCGAACACAGCACTTGTATAAAGGGTACATGAAAGTGGTCACAGGACGCATGCAAGGTCCCCACAGCACAGACACCAGCAAACCCCCCTAACCCCAGTTGGGACCCCACGCCCCGCTCAGTTGCTGGCCCACACCTTGATGAACTTCCTCACCAGTGCCCAAGAGAGCTAGAGAGGGTTTGCAGGAAGCCTTTGAATATGGCACTGCAGTCATCCATGTGTTACATCAGGAGGTGGGACAAATTCAGGAGATCCTCATTTCCACACGTTAAAGGGGAAGATGGGCAGAAGCTTCTTTCAGCCCAAACCAGGGAACCAAAGTAACCCACTGACACCTGATGGGATCAGTCGGCAGGGACATTGCAAAGACTCTAGAAAACCCCAAATCAGGTTCCACCTGGCAGTGGGACAGGCCAGGCAAGGGGAAAGCTCACAGCAGTTTTTGAATTTAATCAATAATTAAAGAATAATCTGCCTCTAGAGTGCAGAGCGTGGGGGTAAAGAACAGCTCTACCCCTGAGGCCTTTAGTGGAGACAAACACCTCCGGTCCCTGTTCACCTCTAGACACTCACAGCATGACATGGGGGGAACAGTGCCTGAGAGAGGACTGCCGAACATGGCCCATTCTTCTTAAGACTTTCAAATCTTAAAATAAATTTACCCAGTACAAGTTATCTTCTTGCCAGTGAAGCCAAGGAAACACTAGAAATGACAAACCAGAACACAAAATTTACTTTCTTTTTTTTCCCCCTCCCCTTTCTCTTCCCCTTCTCTTCCTGCTGCTATGCTTACTTAACCTCCAGGTACCCGCTTAAATAACTCAACTAAATAGCAATAATGAACGGGCAGAGTCAACACTGTGGTACATAATCACCTTGTCTGTTGTGTTTAGCATCAGTGATCCCTCCTTTGCGCGCATGACATTCTTCTGCCTTCTTCTACGTTAAGGATTTGCTTTTCACTTTATTTGCATTTAATTACCAATGTTGCACCCATGCACGTTTTGTTTTCTCCGCATTAAGTGCAGCTACTCCAGTATATCCTATTCCTGCAGGAATTTCTAGGAAGTCCTAAGAGCAGGAGGAATTGCTGAATTCATTTTTGAGCAACTCATCCCCAACTCTCATTCCTATGTCCCAATTTGCTTGTTCAAACGGGTGTGTAAAGCACCAACTGTTTATGTCCATGAAGGGCTGCCCGACAGTATTACAGATACTCCACCGTCTTGCAAACTGCGCTGCTTTAAAGCATTAATTCTGCAATTAGTTTCAAAAAGGAAACAGGAACTGCTAAAGTTTCAGATCGTTATAGCTGCCAGAAGTGTTTTTACAGGAAGGGTCTACAATATTAGTGGTGTGAAAAATTTTAACCGTAAGATTTAAAAAGCTACCCTTTTAACAAAAATATCTTAAATATTTTTTCAATTGTTATTTTTTAAAGTTCAGGCTTTAAAACAGGGTGACTGTGGCAGGATTCCTTGTTGCCCTAACATCGCTGTGATTTTACAAATAGGGATCACATCAATGAGAGATAAAGTGAAAGTTGCAGTGTATAAACTTAGACCACAGCAGAGCTAAAAATAAGCCTGCAAATACACATCAGGGTTGCACAACAAAACACCAGCAAAGGAAATGCAAAATTATAGACTTTGTTTTTTTCTTTTTGTTTACTTCGTGTAGTTTTAACTCATAGTTATTTCATAAGCATTTCAAAGTAGCTTTTCTTCTCCTGAACAACTTAAATTTATTTCCCCACAAAATTCATCTTCCATTTTTGTAAGCCATTACTCGTGCAAGTAACCTTTCTACAAGAAATCCCGGTGAGTAACGATCACTTGTGCACCGATTTCAAAATCAGGCCCCAAAATTTAGTATCAAAATATAAGACTTCCTTACTTCCATTTAAATAAAATCTGCATTATAAGTTAAATCAAATGCAATTCACTGCTTGCCAGCAAATAAAAATTACTAAACTGAACACACCACAGTCATTTCTAGGTGATATGTGCCTCAGACAATTCCCCTAAACCTTTCAGTGACAGAGTTCATAAAAATAAATAAATAAAGAAATAAAGGAGGGGGTGTGTGGGGTGTGTAATATAAAAGTCAAGACTACAGTTCTCATTTAATCCACTTTTCCCCCAGTAAATATGGCAGGAAAAAGCAGTAAAAAAGTCAACGCATAAGTTGGAAAAATATAGAGCCAGATTCTGTCCTTAACTATTCCTGAATAAATCCAGATCTATGCTGGTACAACTGAGGGCAGAATCGTCTCGTGGTGTCAGCTTGCCAGTCAAGCAATCCTGCTTTCTGAACTGGACGAAAAATAATCTTGAAGGAATGAGATCATGGTCATTATATTATTCAGTTATGTCATGGCCTTGATTTTAAAAGAGTAAGAGAAGAGAAATCAACATGCATCTAAATCCACTCGCTTTCAAATTCCTCATCTGTTTCACAAAACAAACTATCTCCTTCATTGAAATAAAAGAGGAAGAAAAACTCATTAAAACGAGGGTCTTTTTGAAAACAGAACTAAAATGATTTGGAATGACGTATACAGCCATACACACAGAGAGAAAATAAAATCCTGGCCCCACCGAATTCAATAGGAGCTTTGCAATTGACTTCAGATGGGCCAGAATTTCACCCAGAGAGGATTAGGCTTGTATCCACTATGTATCTACACAGAAAATACTGTGAATTACATTTATTTGGCTTCGAATACTTAACCCTTAATTACCCGAGTTTTTACCCCTTCCCCAGGCAAAATTTCAACTCATCCCAGCGCGGTTTATCCCGGACAAGTAGCAGAGCGCTGGGTCCCAGGGCGAGGACGGTTAGCTCTTGCTGTGTCTCTCAACGCACAATTCAGAAGCATCTAATTATTTTATCCAGTCTCCCTCTGCCTTTGATACACAGCCTGCTTATCGACATATTCACACAAATTAAATAAATTTATCTCTCCTAATATGTTCATTTTTAATGGTTTTCAAACATTCACATGGAAACAGCTCTAGCGTAAATATCCCAGAACAAATGGCTGTATATTATACAGGAGGGAGCAGTTGGGCTGCCAGACTGGGAATGCACCAGGCCATCTGGCTCAGGCAGTCTCTCCAAAATCCTCAGCTTTGTTTTCACCCTCAGACTCCAAACAACACATTTTCCACTGTGATGAGTTTACATTTTCCCAAACACAGGTCCTGATCATGCATGCAAATTCCAAACTTCTCCATTCCTCTCTGTACAAGAAAATTAAAATCACCTGCGCTTCTGACATCTCACCAAAGGCACAAGAAAGCTGCTAAAATCTGGCACAATGTAAACTTTCCCCGTCACAGGGGTTAGGTTTTGTTTTA